GTACATGCTCGGTACCGAGCGGTACATGCTCGACACTGTTAATTACTTTATTTTTATCATTTTTTAGGCTTACGCCTCGATCCGCCTCGAGGCTTACGCCTCGCCTCGCTTAGCCAAAACGACTCGATTCCCGATTTCGCCTTTTAAAACTTTGGAGCTGAGTTATTTGTGGGTATAAGGGTGATTTGGCAACCCACTTATTCCTGTTCTCTATGATGTCATAAAGTAACATTGATGACTAAGTGTCCTGTTAACTTCTCTATTTGGCTGTAGTCCCTACGAGAAACCTCCAACAGTTAAGTTAACAATTTAAAAGTGATCAAGGTAGCAGGAAGGAGGTTTGATTGAATTTTTTACTTAATGCCAAAGTGTGCAGATAATAGGAGTAAAATTGATCCAATGTCTTATGTATATAGCTAGTACTATGACCAATCTTGGCATCGGGAAATTTTGTTGATAAAGATTCCACATCAGATGGTCCCATCATCTTTGCTCTTATAATGGTGTAAAAAAATGATCAATGTGGCCTCTAGAAGTTGGAAGAATATGCGACGGGCTTTCTTAAGATGAAGAAATTTGGAGCATCACAATCTCTCAGGGGTGTGTTGGATTGATCAATGATTGATTTACCCTCACTTAGATCAAAGAGTGTTTTACACCATGTGAGCCCCATAATTGTGAACTTTAAGATTCTTGTGATGATCACTATGAATCCCCTTAAATCTAATATAAGAATTTTTTGGGTCGTTTCTAGGCCATGTCTAACTTATTTTAATTTAAAAAGGCATGGACATCTCTATAAGCATGCTTCACAATGTCAAAGCATTTCCAAAGCAGTGCTGTTAAAAGCATACTTCAAAGTGAGCCTTAGGAGCAAAGTGAATCAATGCGCTAGCCTTGTGCATCACTTGCCTATGAAGTGTAAGCTTGCTAAAAAGCACACATGTTGCATTGCTTCACAATTTTGCGTCATTAGCTTTATTGGCTAGGCTCCTATTCAAAGCAAAATCTTTGTTCATATTTTGTGGTTCTATTTAACATTTGCCACAATAGCTAGACACAATCGTTTGATTTATCTCAATTTTTCTTGTATTTATTGAGTTATTACCATTGGTTCTCCATTCTTTTTTTTTTTTGGAGCTAGTCTCTTCTTCATGGTTCTTCTCTTCATGCTCACTCTCATGCTAGTTTTTAGATGTTTTTCACTAGTTCTTATTGTTAGTGCTAGTAGTTTTTTGCTCACAAACTTTTTCTCAAGAATATTTCTCGTTACCTTATCGTCATAATATCTTTCGCTTCATATTGCCTCCATCTCTAGGTCTCTAGCTAGCATTTAATCTCACGAGTTTATTCTTATTTTTTAAGTATTCTTATTTCATTTTATTATTTATTTCTTTAATTATTATTTTATTTTGAATAGTTGTAATAATTGCTATTGAACATATCATTATATTTGCTAAAAAAATATTTTCTTATGTAGTTTAATTTTGGTTAGTTCAATAATTATTGTATGCACATAATAATAGTGTATATGATATATAAGTCATGAACGCCCTAATTATTAAAAGAGGGCTTTGCTTTGCAATTTGCGCATTAAAGCAAAAAAGAACTTCAGCACATCGCATTGTGCTTTGCATTATTTAAAATTGCGCAATATGAGGCTTGCCTTGAGGCCCGCCTTTGCGCAATTCCAGTGAAAAATGCCTCAAGTTTTTTAATGAGGCTTGCGCCTCAACTTAGTTGAGGCCCGCTTTGAGGCGCGTCTTGCCTAACTGGCGTTAGGCTTATGCCTCACCATATATATATATATATATATATATACTTACATAAATCCTAAAGTAAAGCCCCGAACAAATCACACTTTGTGCACCCCCAAGTCATAGCAACTTCCTCTCAAATGCCTCAACCTCCAGCTCGTCGCCTTTGCCACAGCCACCACCGTCAAAGCCACCGTCAAATATCACTTGAAAGCCGCACCCCACCACCCCCTAAAATTTTGGAGTATTAATTTCATCTTTATGTTGATTGAAAACATTTATGAAAGAGGATGATGTCTGAAATAAATGAAGAAGAAGTATATTGTGAAGTATTAGACTTAATTGGATGAGACAGAGGAGAGATCAATTTGTTATAATGACGACTCAAATAAAGATCCCCGCAGTGATGATAATATAGATGATTTTCTAGTTATTGCCAACTTTTCAGCATTTTTTTGAAATTAAATGTAGATGAGTAGGGAACTAAGAAAGAAATGATTTGAAGTTGAATTTAATGTTATATGATGCTTTTATACAGTTTTTATATTTAATAATTAATTATCATACAGCTTTTATACAGTATTTATATGATGCTTCTCGTTGCATAAAGATGCAATTAGCAATTGTCTTAAAGTTTAATTCTCTTTTGTGCTTCATTCTTGTAGGATTCTGAAACTTGAAACCAGCTAAAACACTATGGTTTTAGATGTCAATCCATGTCAATTATGTTAATGCTTTCAGTTTTGCTGATAAAGTCTGGTTCTAACTGCAATTTTCTATCAGTCTGTTTGTTCGTTGAATTTTTTGCTTGATCGTTTAACTAATAGCCTCTTCTTAAAGCAACTATTTGAAATTTGAAGTGACTGTAAGTGCTGAGCCTGTTTATCATTTTATTTGTAGAATTTTCCCTGCCAAGAAGTTGAAAGACATAACAAACCTGAAGTTGAGCTAAAGTAAGTTTTGCGTTTTAAACCTCACATATATGCAAAATTTTGTTGCAGTTGCCTATTTCAAGTATATTCAAATTTTCATATTGGTGAATTATGGTTAGATTGGACACACATCATATGTTCAAGTGTTTATTTTTAGTAGATTTTGATGCATTTCTAAATTTGGTATTCTAACCTTCCCTAGACCCTGCATTGGCAGGGAATTCACGCAGCAGGTAAACCCTTCTTCTGCCACCCACTAAAATTAGTTAGGTTCTGTAACATGGGAAGCATAACTCTTAACGGAATATAACTTTCAGGTGGACTTTATTTAACTGTTTAAGCCTTCGCATGTGTGGCTTATCTAGTAGTTTAATGCTTAGTTATCTTTATTTTTTTTGTTAATCAGCATCCAGTCATAGTTATTTGATCTGATGAGACTATCATATTACATTTTAATATTCACTGTGCAAATATGATCTTCATTTTATAATTCTCAGGACTAGCACAGAGCTACTATTGAATCCGGTAAGTGAGCTTTCTTACTCTTCTGCGTATGCTTCATCCATGACTTTATATGTATTTATTTATGCTTCATCTATGGTTTAATGTGAAATCTATATATTTATGCTTCATCTATGGCTTTTCACAAATTTATTTTGATAGGAAACATAACTTTGGTTTTCAAGTGGGAATCGCCAATTGCTTTCTATTGGACATGCCACCTTTTTCTCATTTTAGAAATGCTAGAAACTCCCTCTTTCTCTTGTTTTTTTCTTGGGAAGTTGCCCTATGGCACCAATCTTTCAGTACACCTTTTCCGGCGAGCTCTGTCAGACCAAAATCAGGGGCGCATTATGTTCATTCAAATAGTGTATTACTTTCTATTAATTTAATATAATCCTGTTTGTATAGAGTAATTATGTTATCTTTCCTGAAAGAAAGAAAAAAAAAATGTTCTCTTTGTTGATGGGCAGATGCGTACTCCTTGGAAGTTGGCCTTTCAAGGAGTTAATTTAGTTGCTTGTTGATGAGCAAAATCTAATTTTTTCGGGGTACATGATTTAGAAGATGATAGGACAATAAGACCTCACTAAATGTGTCTCAAATAAAGAATTTACTGTTTATGTAGCCATTTGCTAGTTTATGCCCCAATATTTATTCCTTATGTCATACTTTAGGCATTCTAAACTGTCACTTTTGATTTTTTGTACAAATTTAACTGAACTAAATTCAGAAGTTCTGATTTTTCTCGGAAAACTTTTTTGGTTTAAGTAATATTAACCTATTAATATATATGAAGAAAAGTCTAGAAAAAATCTAGATTTTATTACAATTAATAAAATCTAGAAAAATAAGTTGTTTTTGTCTAGTGAATGCACTATATGGTTTTTCTAAGAACAAATGAGCCACGGAAGCTTTTTTTTCAATGTCCTTGGGGTTATTAGTATACTGATTCTGACAATGCAAGTTTTCCATTGTACGAAGGATCCATATTAAATTAGTTCACAGCAGGCTTCCAGTTTTTGTATCATAAATTTTCATACAGTTGCTTAGTTGAGGTCTCAATTATTTATTTTTAACTTAATTCTTATAATTTTCTGTTCATAATTTGTTGTTTTTGGCTTCTTGGAGATCCCAATAGCTAGTGTAGAATTACATGATCACTTACAAATAACCTTCACACTTAAAAATTGTATGATCTTGGTGATTATAACAGGTTTTGATTTGTCGAAATGAGGCAGAAAAATGCCTAGTTGAAACTTCAATCAATTCTATCCGTGTAAGCGTGAAGGTAAGGGAAAGTTACTATTATTTAGTTGCTCACAAATTTAATACGAAAGTCTTTGCTACAGTTGCATTTCAATGTGCATTCAGGCCTACAATTGTAAACAGATTTCTGTGGATCTTATATCACAATGTTGCAGTCATGACTTAAATATTGAAGCAATGAGTAAGATGATTTGGACATAATAACAAAGTAAGAAAAGCAACCATTAGACCGAGTGGATAAAAGTTAGCATCGAAGAAAATGTTCAATATTTTAGGCAACACTTAAAAAAACAAATGGAAAATAAGGTTTCATAAAGCCCACCCAAATAGTTGGGATAGGCTTAATGATGATGATAATAACTTAAATCTTCATACTAGTAATTAAACTTTTGAGTAAGTTAAACTTTGTTCTTGGCAGAAGCTATAGCTTATAGATGACTTGCACATCATAGTTTTCAATTGGGCTTATAGATGACTTGCATATCCCATAAGGCATACCTAAACTTGTATTTGATTAACCATCTTGCTATCCTAACCCATATACTAATCCGCAAAGTGGCAAAAGATGATTGTCCATACTCAGTACTTGTTACTTACCTGATAACCTACTGAATAGAAATATATAAAAATGTTGTGGGAATGCAATCCAAATTGGAGTGATAGGTGATTTTTCAAAATAGTTAAAATGGGATGACCATTTAGCATACACATCTAGAAATAAGTGTAATAGAATCATTGATTGTAGTAGAAAGTTCAATAATAAAAAGATGAGAGTCGAAAGGCTTAACATAATGGTCAACAACTATATGCAAATTAGACATAAATTTGAGGATAATCTCTAGGTTCGGGCAGCCCAATGAAAATATCTTAAGAATAGAGAAATGGAGAGACCAAGCAAGTTTTGATATCTCCCCTTCAATGAAGATGAGAGTAGACTTGCCTGTTTATGTGGATTTATGCTTGTGAGAAGGTAATATTGTTTCTTGATGAAAAAGATAAAGGGAATTAATTGTTAGATGTGGGGAATTGAAATCATGAATCATTCAACCTACCAACAACATTTGTAAAGGAGCTAGGAAGATGGCAGCTGGAGGCTTAGGTTCTAAAGTAGAGGAAGCAAGAGGAGGAGCCTTTGGGAAACAAGGAACCACTGGGATAAGAGGTGGCAATCTAAATGAGGGTTCATCCAAAATCCTAGAAGCAATGAGGGAGAAAGATGTGAGCTTCAATGAATAACAACGGTAAATGAGCAAAAGTATCCAAAGTAGAAGCTGGAATGCTAGTTGTAGCACCATCCTGAGCCAATGAAAGTGAACAAGCATGATTTAGAAGGTGAGAGGAAGAACGAACATTGACAGACAATGGAAAAACAATAGAAGAAGACAATAAAAAAAACTAGGTGCAAGAGGGATCAACATTGAATATCCTATCGGTGCACGAGTGCAAGATAGTCCATACACTGTTTGCATGAGGCATTGACATCAGAGATCAGGATGCATTTGACCAAAGCCACACACAAGATGAGTGCTCGTGTGCTTGTGAATAGGCAAACGTGTGCGAATGAAACGTGAGGGCTGTAGACGTGAGTGAGTGGACTTGGCCATGCAGAACGAGGGTGGTGGATGTGAGTGATGCATATGGAAATTGAAAAAAAAAATAATGGATGCATATGCAAAATAAAAAACTATTACCTACACAAGCAAATAATTTAGGGTTGATGATTCCTATAATATATGCTAGCACCATGTAATGTCTCATGAAAATTACTTACGAGAATTTTCTTCCAATTTTAACTGTAAATTGATGCCTTTACAAAAATACCCCATTCTATGAAAACATTTGTTATAAGTATTTTGGCTTGCTCATTCCAAATTTGATTAGAGATATTTTGTGCTCCTTTTCTTTGTACGTGATAACAGACTTCCGTTTCTGTCTTCTCTTTTGTTGACTTGTATTGGTGGTTATTTCCTTAGCGCCATCTCCCTCAGTTTTGAACCAGAAAGGCTAAGAATGGATGTTAGGTACGGACCATTAAAATCTATGTCGAAATCCCTTACAATAAGAAGCTTTGGATAACAAATGTCTAGAGGTTATGCAAAATGACATCCTTAACTTGAGCGAATATCTCATGTCACACACAACAAGTATGGATTTAGAAAGCTTTTATACAGTCTATACAAAATTGGTTGTTGAAGACTGATGGCGATGCTGTTGAACTCCTCTGAGTACATTTTGCAAACATTCTGTGCTGTTTGGGTCTTTTTCTTTTTCTTTTTAGTGGAAACAAAATATAAAATTTAACTTTTAATTACTCTTGAATCAGCCCTCATCACAAAATAAAGTATAAGTAAAAAAAAAAGAGGAATATGGGATGATTTTTTTCTTAACTATGTAGGTGAAGCAAGCAGATGAGCTGGAAAACATACTTGCAAAGAAGTTTCTTAGATTTTTGTCAATGAGAGCAGAAGCATTCCAAGTTTTAAGAAGAAAACCGGTGCAGGTATCTCCAGTTATAAATTTTTTCTAGTAGTTCTGTTGACCGCACAATAGAAGGTTGAGTTTACTTTTAAACTTTTCCTAGAAAAAAATTGTTTTGCTTGCTCCTAATGCTTGAAATTAATGCTTTTACTAGAAGCTGCTTGTTCCTAATGTGTCACAAATTGGTGAAATTTATGAACAGAAATAATTCCTATAAATTCTTGCGAGGCTTTAGTATATTTTATCTCGTTATTGTTGGTGATAGCACATGAACCTTGATCCAGATTTACGACAAGGGCTGATAATTATGTATAAAACTCAAACGCAGTTGACATCGGTCGAATTGGAGTTCATTCAAAATCAATTTGCTATCACAAATGATTTGCTTAAAATCAGTTTGATTCAACTTGAAATCAACTTGATATGTGATATATATAAATATAATTGCATTTTTAGAACATATGCCATATATATATATATATACACACACACTCTCTCTCTCTCTCATGGAGAAAAGGATCAAATGGGCTCCTGATTATTTGTGGGGAGACATTTTATTCCTAGACTAGATTCATTTTGGGTCAATTTCGAGTTGGACCTAAACCTTACCCATTAACCTATTTTTACACCCCTCTTATATATATATATATATATATATATATATCATAATATAACTGTATAAATATTTAAACCATATAATAATAATAATAATCTTGATTAGTAATTAAAAAATAAAACCTAATATGCCTGACTTGAATTAGCTCAAAAATTCACTTGAAATTAATTTCTTTTGACTAGGTTTAAATTAGGCTCAATTTGATGGTGAAATCTTTGCTTTTAATTAAGGCCACCCCGTTGAAACACAACTCATTATCGTCCCTAAACTTTTTTAGTTGAGATAGTGATGCGTATGCACTGTTGGCTTTCTATATGAATGACCCCCCTGTGACTATTCCTAATTATGAGGTTCAAATGTCACCCTAGTATCTCTTCTTCATAGAGGTCATGTGGAAACTTTGCTAGAATTTTGTGAATTTTATAGCTTTGACTTTTTGGCTGTCAATGAAGAAGTTAAAGTTGAATTATGAGTTGAGTACAAAACTTCCCAAGCTTCTCTATTCAAAGAGAATGTTTAGTAAAAATACAAAATTCAATGCCATGTAGGTTGAGCAGAATACTTTATGCGATGTGCTGCATGGTCTTCAAAGCTTGGTCAAAATGTTGAATGCCATGTTGCATGATGCTCAAAGTTTGGTCAACATGCTACACATGATGTATCACAATGACCATTGCTTTGAAAAGAGAGTTATGCATCATGTTATGCTGCAATCAATGCTCGGTCCATGCTTTATGTGCATGCCACATAGAGCCCTAATATTGGTTATTGGACAAATTACATGAAGGACCAAGAGACTAATGTTTTAAATAATATTGGTTGTGGAAAGACCTTTTTTTTTTTGAATTACCGATGAAACCCTTGGATAATTTGAAGATGATGGATGTTTTAAAAGATCAACTTGCACAATATGAAACCTCCAACATAGAATATACAGTCCTCAATTATGAGAATCTTTGGTTATTCCTTTATTCATTGCTTAATTTACCACTAGAAAATTCACTTTTGGTACTCTTAATAAGGCCTTGGTAAGCTTTTGCTCTTAGAGTGGCTCCTTTGTTTGATGTTATTAGAGAATATGTTCAAATATAAAATTTGTAAATGGGCAATAAAACTAGCTTTGTTAGATCCAATAGTTAGACATCAAAGAAATCAAAATAAAACCAATATTTTGGAAAATTTATAATACCCATATGAAATTTAATGTAAAATTAGGAATGATGAATTGGTAAGATTTTCTTAGAGAGATCATGGGACTAGCACCTATTGAGGCTAGTTTTACAATACAGACATGCGTGATTTGGATAGCACGGGGGCAAAAAAATGAGAATGCCTTGAAAGAATTAAGACAAAAAACATGAGGGCAGAACAAAAGTCACTTGTCTATACTGGAAAAGTATCTTTGCAAACTAGAGTTAGCACCAAAAGAATGTAGAAGAAATATTTTTTTATGCTGCCTAAATAATTGGAATTCAACCAATGATTGGTGAGGGGCGTGGTTACCTCTATTAAAATAAGTATGTGAATAATTTACATTGTATGATTTTTCCAGCATAAGTAGCTGTTAATTTGAGGTTGAAGCATGTTTCTATAATTGAATATTTGCTAATTTATAAACTTATACTTTTTTTTTAATGATAGAGCACCACTACATAATGATTGTTTTAGTCAAGTTCATGGCTGTCTTACTCCGTTTTCATTGATTACCCACCCTCTCTCTCTCTCTCTCTCTCTCTCTCTCTCTCTCTCTGCTGTCAATGTGTGCCAGCTAAATAAATCTTGCAATTTATGGATCATGTATATTCTTGAGAAACATTTGTGTTGGAAAGCATTTATGAAAATTGTTCTTTTCAGGGCTATGATATTAGTTTTCTAATTACAAACTACCACTGCGAGGACATGCACAAGCATAGACTTGTTGATTTCATTGTACAATTTTTGGAGGTAAACTGTTCAGTCTTCTCGGGCTTTGTAGTGAAACCCTTTGAAAATTTTAGAACTTTCTCTAGAAGGCAACTATATTCTATGGATGCATCTATCATGGAAACTGTTATTTTTCATTTTTATATTTACCATCTCTAGTAAGCTGTTTGCCTTGCGTAATATTTGCGTGTCCATTCTTTATAGAACTTTAGAATCCGCTAGTATTACTTATGGATAATTTTAAGTTCTTCTTTCCACTACAATTAATTACAAAAATGTTTTAGTTTACTTTCTTGCAACATGTTCAACGTTACTTTTTTCATTTTACTTAAACATGACAATGTTACTATGCGTTTCTACAAGCACCAACTTAGCGCAATTAACAAACAAAAATAGTTTGACCATTTATTGCATTTCTAACTACATTGTTCTATGGGGAACCTATTTACTCACCAATCAGAACTTTTTTTTGACGTGAAGAGTTATTAAGCTTCTCAGCATACCAGCCATATGCTTTCTTCATTATTTTTGTGAAAAATTCACGGAGAATAGTGGGATGTTTACACCAAGTTATTGCCATGCGAGGTTCAATTAACATTTAATAGTCAATGAACCGAGTTCAGAGCTACTCGGTTGAAGCATTCTCAACCCTAGGGTTGAGTTGGGAAATTCACCCAAAAACATCATGTTCCAAATTTGCCTAGGTTGCTCGCCCAAGCACCAAAGCTATTTGTCAATGTTCAACGGGCCTTAATGAAGTCGGCATGCGACTTCACATGGAATCACCCTTTACTTGGAACTTTACAAGTATTATCCACGTATTCTTTTAGCTAGAAGTTAGATATGTTTATTTTAAAAGAAGCCCGTATCAATTATTATTATGTATTTATTCTTGTATAACTCACATGTATCCTTCTTGTAATGATGTGCCTCATCCCTAGCCTATAAATAGGGGGTCATAAGATGAGCCTAACATATTCAATTGTTTGCTCATGTCTTGTACTTTTAGGCAGTCTAATGAATGGTTTAAAATTGCGCAATATGAGGCTCGCCTTTGCGCAATTCCAATAAAAAACGCCTCGATGCTTACGCCTCAAGTTTTTTTATAAGGCTTGCGCCTCAACTTGGTTGAGGCCTGCCTCGCCTCACTGCATGAGGCTTACGCCTCACGCTATATATATTAAAACTTATATAAATCTTGAAGTAAATGCCCGACATTGGACTCTATTGGAGAGAGGAAGGGGAGAGAGCAATTCACCATAATGATGATTCAAATGAAGAACCCCTTAGTGATGACAGTGCTGATGACTTATGAGTTCTTATGTGATATGTCATTGCTATTTATTTTAGGAAATTGGAATTATATGTTAATGAAAAAAATACTGGGATTTGGAAAAGATAGAATTTTGAGTTGAACTATATTTATTGTTGTCTTATTATTGAGATATTTTGATTTCACTTCATATCTTATGTTTTTAATGTTTTATATTATTCACTCATTAATATATACAAAATTTATCATTTTATGTTTACGCAATTTTTTGACTTTGAGGCTTAGCCTCAAAACGCCTTGAGGCTTATGCCTCGCCTCACGAATGAAAACGCCTCAATACCCGAATACGCAATTTTAAACATTGGTCTAATGAAATTGTAGAGCTTCTCAACCTAGATTTTCTTTTTCTCTCTCCTCAAAAATTTTTTAGTCATCATTATAAGGTTTAGCGTTTTGTGGACAAATTTAGATATATTGTACTCTATGCTGCAATGAGCGTAGGAGGTGATAATGAATAGAAAGCCAAGCTTTGTAGAGGCAGTATGAAAGGGTGATATTAGTTGAAATGGACAACCATGGCTTCGTTTTTAGTAGGAAGCTCAAATAATTGGAAGAAGTAATCACTAAATGATTCAAGAAGTCTTGGAACATGTTCCTAAGATCACGTTGCATGTAGAAGGCATTGAAGAAGGATCCTTTGATTCTATCATCCCATAATAACTACCTAGTCTGAAAACATTGATTTCAATTCGTGCAATGGATGAGACTTACTTCCCAGCAAGTAGTACATAAGCAACTCCAGTTCAAAAGGCCAAGAAGTGATGTTCGTAACTGAAAAATATATTTTCTATGGAGATTCTTGAGGTGTAGCCTCCAACAAAGTTCAAGATCCCACATGTGGATTCGTATATATGAATGACAGATTTTTCATATCACATTGCTTTAAGTAAGCAACTTTACTAATGAAAATTAATGATATTATAAGATTTTGACTATACTTTACTATCAAGTAGTTGCCACTTAAGTGGTTCTCCCATTTGTTTTCATTCATTTGCTAAATTTAAGAGGCAATTCATCACTCAATTTGCAAGTGCCTAGAAGCCTCAGAATAATTTCCATGCTTTATTAAAAATGAGGCATTAGCAGGGCAAGTTCTTGAGAAATTTTATTATGAGGTTTCAAAGGGAGGTTGGAAATGAGAATTTGGAGCCCACTATAGTCTAAGAGAGGAATCATCAGATGTGCACTCACTCTATACTCTATAGTAGCCAATGACTTTATCCTATTTGTTGGAATTCACCAATAGTCATATTAATACTGAGAAGTATAACAATGTATTAATTGCATCAACCTCCATTTGACCAAGAGAATAATGTTTGGTGGGAATTTGTGATGATTTTCCAAGGACCATCATTGTCCCATAAGCATCCAAATTCATTTAAGAAGTCGCATTTTCAACACTGGCAACTAGGGTTTCTAAAAGTGCTCTTTAAAGAGAGCATTTGAAGCTATGCGTAATGACACAGTCCAGCTTAACATTGCTTCTACTCAAGCAGCCTAAGTTTGTGAAGCATGTGCTTTAGGTATGCCATTAAAGATTACAAGATGCACCAATAAGGCATGCACATAAAGATCTTCTAGATATAATCAAAATTCTTCTTATTGCATGTCACTAAAAATTACAAACATAGGTAGGCATAAAGGTTTTCTCAAAACCGATTTGGATTCATGTTGGGCAGGTATACTATTGAAGCTATGCATTTATTGAGAGGTTTGATGGAGAAGTATAGAGATAATAAGGAGGATCTACGTATGATGTTTATTGGTTTAGAGAAAGCTTATGATAATGTTCCAAGAGAAGTGCTATGGAAAATTTTAGAAAAGAAACAGGTTAATAATGCTTATACTAAGGTCATTAAGGATATGTATGTGCGAGTTATTACTTGTGTTCAAACACAAGGTGGTTTGATAAAGTATTTTTCTATTTCAGTTGGATTACATCAATAATCAACTTTAAGCCCATATCATTTTTGCTTTAGTCATGGATGTTCTTTCTAAACATTTGGAAACGATGGACCCTAATGTGTGCTTTTTACTGATCATATTCTTCTTAAGAATAAGACTAGAGAGGGAGTTGAAGGTAAACTTGAATTATGATGATCAACCTTAGAGTACAAGGCCCACCTGGGTTTTGGGTTTTGTAAACTTGAATTAAACTAAAATTACACTCCAGGTTTTAGTAGTAATAGATCTACTAGGGGTATTGTGACTTTGAGCTATCAAGTTATTAATAAGAGTATATGTTTTAGATATCTCGGGTCTGTTATCTAGTGGATGGTGAAATAGATGTGAATATTATTAGTAGAATTCAAGTTGGATGGTTGAAGTGGAGGAATGCATCGGGCCTGTTGTGTGATAGAAATGTACCCCCTAAAACTCAAGAGAAAATTCTATAAGATGGTGGTGAGACCTGCAATGTTTTATGCATAGAATGTTGTCCATTAGAGAAGAATAAAATCAAGTTAAGTGTTGCAGAGATGAGGATGCTCAGGTGGATAAGTGATTTTACTTGTTGAGACAATACAAAAATGAGCATATACGTGAAAAGGTTGGAGTAGCACTAGTGGCAGATAAGATTAGAGAGAGTTGCCTTAGATGGTTTGGTCACATAAAATGTTAACTTTTTGATGGCTCGGTTAGGTGAGTAGATATATTAGATTTGGACCCTAATGTGTGCTTTTTACTGATCATATTCTTCTTAAGAATAAGACTAGAGAGGGAGTTGAAGGTAAACTTGAATTATGATGATCAACCTTAGAGTACAAGGCCCACCTGGGTTTTGGGTTTTGTAAACTTGAATTAAACTAAAATTACACTCCAGGTTTTAGTAGTAATAGATCTACTAGGGGTATTGTGACTTTGAGCTATCAAGTTATTAATAAGAGTATATGTTTTAGATATCTCGGGTCTGTTATCTAGTGGATGGTGAAATAGATGTGAATATTATTAGTAGAATTCAAGTTGGATGGTTGAAGTGGAGGAATGCATCGGGCCTGTTGTGTGATAGAAATGTACCCCCTAAAACTCAAGAGAAAATTCTATAAGATGGTGGTGAGACCTGCAATGTTTTATGCATAGAATGTTGTCCATTAGAGAAGAATAAAATCAAGTTAAGTGTTGCAGAGATGAGGATGCTCAGGTGGATAAGTGATTTTACTTGTTGAGACAATACAAAAATGAGCATATACGTGAAAAGGTTGGAGTAGCACTAGTGGCAGATAAGATTAGAGAGAGTTGCCTTAGATGGTTTGGTCACATAAAATGTTAACTTTTTGATGGCTCGGTTAGGTGAATAGATATATTAGATTTGGCCTATGCTAAGAGAGGTAGAGGTAGACCTAAAATTCTTGGTTAGAAAATATTAGAAATCACATTTTTTTATTAGATTTAAATAAGAATTAGAGTTTTAACATGGCACAACGGTGAAAAAGGATTCTAATAACCCACTTTTTATTAGATAGATAGACGGGCGGGCGGGTGGGCGGATACATAGTAGTCTAATAACCCACTTTTGCACTTGTTCTCCACCCCTGAGAGTTTGTTTGCCAAGCACCAGTAGAGTTTTGCTCTCATAGTTTAGCTGCTCATCAAACATCTCCGAGCATTGTTGCTCAACCTTTTATTCATGCCAAGTATCGTTTTCCATCCTAGAGATATTCTTTACCACTAAACTCTCCAACATTAAAAGTTTGATGCATTAAATAAGTACTGTTTGAGATGTGCGAGGCTATTTCTACTCTCATTAACCTCAAGTGATTCTTGAATGCTGAATTCATTTGGTTTTTGGCCGTAACAGGCAATCAAAGTTTCATTTGGGGCGACTTTCATACTGTTTTTTAATACATAAATTTTAATTTTGTATTAAAAAGCAGCTTTAAGAAACAATAAGAAAGCTGTCCCAAACGAAAGCCTAAATCGAACTGCATAAATGTTAACTATGCACGCTTACTTTTCGAACAATTACCGCTTCTTTTAGAATTTTACAAGTAAAAAATTGATGGTTTTAAACATTTAGGAACTAGTAAGTGGTCAATCCCACATTGTAGTTACACGATGGTTCTTTAGCTGATTATTCTATGAGGCTCTATGTTTTTCCTTTGATTTAGTGGTAGTTTTTTCATAAAAAGATTCAGTAACCATTTATTTCCCTTAGATCTCTCAAGACAAATCATACTAAATATCTAATGATCTCAATGTGGAACTGCAGGACATTGACAAGGAGATCAGTGAGCTGAGGCTCTCAGTGAACACAAGAGGACGTTTAGTAGCTACAGAATTTCTGAAGCAGTTTATCTGAGACTGATTTTGATAGTTCCAATGGATAATCTATATAGTTTATGTACTTCTTTTGCGTGCAGAATAAATTGTATTATGTAGTTCTTTGACATTGGGAAGTGGCCTTAGTGGTTCCCTTAGGTGAAGGGGAAATGGCTCATCTCAAAAAGAAAAAAAAAAATTCACATGAATGCTATGGTTTCATGGCTTTTCTGAAATGAATGGGTTTCAGTTCTTCATCAGAACCTTGTACTGATTTTATATTTATGTATATTTCCTTTATTTAAAGGCACATAGTAGTTATATAGAAAATTAGAAACAATTTTTTTTTTTTCATGTATTTCAGCTATATTTTATCTAAATTGGCCATCAAGCCTTTATCCTAGGCTAGATGAATTTCTTTTTTCTTCATTGTGTTGTATTAGGAATCAAACTCTCATGTAAATCTCATAAAAAGGTGATTTTTAATATTTTTTAACTTACTTTTTTTTATATATGTTATATTTTTTAACATATGTTAAATCTAATATATCTACTCTTTTAATCGAGTCATAAGATAGCTTATGTTTTATGCCATCAAATTATCTAAAGCGATTGTCTCTAATCGTTTATGTTAATAGAGTAACTCCAACTTTTGTTTGAATATGCTCATTTCACATTCTAACTCTTAATGGAATGCCACTTGTTCACCTGAGCATCCTCATATCTGCAACACTTAATTTTATGCTTCTCTTTTAATGATCAACATCCTGGTTTTTAAAAACCATAGCTGGTTTGCCAAGCGAGTGGGTCGACTGTCGGTTTGATCTGGTCCCAAACAATTTTAGTCGAATCGGCTTTCATAAGTGCCCAAACTGGCTGACCGATCGATTCATGGTGAACTAGCCAGGCCAGTCTGATTTTTAAAACATAGATCAATATTTTGCATGATAAAGTATTGCAGGTCTCACCATCATTTTATAGAATTTTTCCTTCCAAGTTTGAGGAGTATTTTTCTATCATTAAATTGGCCAAACCTAATGAATAACATCACTAATTACACAGACCCTTCTAGGTCTTATTTCCCTAATATCAAATTATTTTAGATCTATATGTTAATATGTGAGGGTGAAAAAATAATAAGTCTTGTGTAACATTTATGCACCCATTGAATGCAATTGTGAGAGGGCTTGGGGAATAAAAAGATTTACAACATGCTATACATTTAGTATAATGCTAGTGATGTGATAATACATGTATGTGATGTGTTGTCATTATCTTATTTGGCTTTAAAAATAAATGAACATTTCTTATCAATGATTTAGGATGAATGGTGATTGATCATGTGACTATTGATTATGAAGCATAAATATAAGGTTCTTTAGCAAAATTCTAACTGGTTCACATTAATTTAGGGTGTTTATTAAGACATATAATAGAAATAAAAACACTGCACACATGTTTCTTGCATATCGCTTGCATCGTTTGCGCTTGATAACCTCATTTTTGTAAATGTGCTGAGGTGCTTTAGGAACATTCTTGATCGGGGTAAGATGTAATTCTATTCAATGTGCTTCATGATTGAATGTGAATAAATTGTCTCATTATTGGTACTTCTCTATTGTATAAAGTTTTCCTACATTTCTTCAATACCTTAGAGCTTGGATTTTTTTTTTTTAAAGTCAAGGAAGGTATCGCCATGTTGTATTATGAGTCTAGCCTAGGCTTCCTCTTATATTTATGAAGTATAGGTTATGTTAACCCTAAGTTAGGCTTCAATTTTTCATACCTCTTAGGTTTACATGATCCCCTTAGGTGATTCAATCCATAGTTGTTGACAATTATCCTCAAGTCATCCACTACTTAATCAAGTAAACTAAGGCTATGATGACCTAAGATGATGGAATCATGAGATTTTGATCAATACTAACCTCACAAATCTTTAGGCTAGGACTATATCATTTCCTTCGCTTCATCCCATGGATTTACAAGGTCTCATTGGAAAATAACCCAAAGTTACTACCAAAGATCCTTTTATTATTGTCATTTAATTAGACCAAATATGTAATAGCTCGAGTTGAAAAAATCATGAGATTTTATTTAGGCCCTTCCTTTCTTTATATCATTTATGTCCTTTACAAACAATTAAATTGTAAGGGTTTTGTTTCGTGGTAACTTTTGATAACTTTTTTTTTGGATATTCTAATAATTCAAAACTTTCTACTATTCTAAAATACAACTCTATGGTAACTTTGATATCATATACTTTGGTTCTTTTTTTATTGTACTCTTATAAATTATTAGCACCTTTCAAGAAGGTGCCTTCATAACTAGGGTTTAGAGTTCCTTGATTATAATTCAATGATTGTGCCCTCCTAAACCTAAAAATATATCAATAACTTCTCAAATATTCTAATAATGTTTCTATTTGACACAACCTAATCTCTTGGGTCTTACCAATCTTATTAGCCTCACCCATATTGAGGTTGCCTATTTTTCAAGTCTTGAAGTCTCCTTAAATTTGAGTTCTTCTCATATATATGATCCTTGTAATGTCCCTTCTTTAATATTGAAAGAGATCATTACATACACATTCAACACAAGCATCTGAACATAAGCGAAGCTCTTTAATCTAAAGTTTATTTAATATATATTATAGGGATGTAATCAACCTCAAGAGATTGCTCATTTGGGAACTCCTTCCCACAATTAAAATATATCTTATTTAGATCTTAATTTCTTTCAAAGAAAATCTTTACAACATATTAATATTAATCTACCTTTCATTTAACCTATGGGTCTATATAGTGCATTGGACGATGATGATCAATCATCACTTACAAAGTCATTGGTGCCTTTTTATGACCATGACTTAGGCTTCGTTTAGTTGTCCGTAAATTTTTAATCGATGAAAAGTTAGTATTTTAATGTTTGTTTACGCCACTTTTTCAAAACACCTTTTGGTATACCTCCGAAATTTTGCCGATTTGAGAAGAAAAAAAAACTGCTTCTCCATTGTAATATCTTTGTTTAAGAATGAAAAAAATATCGGGGGAAACCAAACGACGCCTTATTGTTGACTGTAAACCGCAGAAACGACTCTAACTCACCCAAACGACACTCTCAAATGATGCTCACGCATGATCTCATAACCGTCGATCATGTAACTCCTTCTCAAGACAAAAAAAATTCACGCAGAACCGCTCCCTCATGCCATTCATACTCTCCTGCACGAAGATATTACAATTGAATAATTATAAAATAAGTTTAAAATTTATATTTAGTTTTTTTTAAATAAATAATTAAAATATTTGAACATATTAAATTGAAGTATCAACAAAAAAAATCTATTAAAATAATATTAAACCAATTTAATATAATAATAAAAAAATGAACTAAAATTGAATGAATCAAATTATTCAGTTAGGTCTTATTTCCCACATCAATTTATTTTAGAATTATATGTTAATATGTGAGGGTGAAAAATAATAACTCTTGTGTAACATTTATGCACCCATTGAATGCAATTGTGAGAGGGCTTAGAGAATAAACAGATTTACAACATGCTTTACATTTGGTATTGTTGCGTCCTGGAGTATTCGCGGCGGTAGAGAATTATAAAGTTTAGCGTCATAGCGTTGTACGAAGATCCAGCACAAAAGCAGATAAGTGAGAGGGTGTAGCATTCATAAGAGACACTAGAGTTTTTACGTGAAAACCCCTAAAAAGGGAGAAAAACCACGGGGCCTGGCCCAGTTTGAATGAATCTACTAGTATTTGCAGTCGATTACAAATTATGCCCTTCTTAGGGAGAAGACCTTGGCTTGATGTTACAAATATACGCCATATGGAGCACATTACATGGTGAGAGTTACAATACTCAACATAGACATGTTTGTTTGGTTGGAAGGGCCATTGTCGGCAAGAGACAGAGGTCAGAAAGACCGTTTTTTGGCTATGTAGGTCGGAAGAATCATAACCGGCAGGAGACTGGGGTTAGAAAGACCGTTGTTTGTTGATTGAGATCGGAAGGACCATAGTAGACGACGGAGGTCAGAAAGGCCATAGTCGGTAGGAGATCGGGGTCAGAGAGACCGTTATCCTGTGATGGAGGTTGGAGTGACCGTAGTAGGTGACGGAGGTCGGGAGGACCGTAGTCGGTAGAAGACCAAGGTCTGAAAGACCGTTGTTGGCCGGAGACCAGGGTCTTAAAAACCGATGTTGGATGGAGACCGAGGTCTGAAAGACCATTGTCTTGTGATGGAGGTCGGAGTGACCGTAGTAGGCGACAAAGGTCGGGAGGACCGTAGTCGGCAGGAGATTGTGGTCAGAAAGATCGTTGTCCTATGATGGAGGTCGGAATGACCGTAGTAGGTGACAGAGGTCGGGAGGACCGTAGTCGGCAGAAGACCAGGGTCTGAAAGACCGTTGTTGGCAGGAGACAAGGGTCTGAAAGACCATTGTTAGAAGGAGATCGAGGTCTGAAAGATCGTTGTTGGAAAGAGACCAAGGTCTGAAAGACCGTTGTTTCCAGGAGACCGAGCTCTGAAAGACCATTGTCTTGTGATGGAGGTCGGAGTGATCGTAGTAGGTAACGGAGGTCGGGATGATCGTAGTCGATAGGAGACTGGGATCAGAAAGACCGTTGTCATGTGATGGAGGTCGGAATGACCGTAATAGACGACGGAGGTCGGGAGGACCGTAGTCGGTAGGGCGATACTTTGGTAGAAATTCAGGTGTAAGATGGTGGTCCGGCGGAGTCCAGGCCTTAAGTGGTGGTCAGGCAGAAGTCAGGGCCTCAGGTGGTGGTTCGGCGGAGAAACGATGTCAGGCGGTGGTCCGGCGGAGGTGAGGGCCTCAAGTAGTGGTTCGGAAGAAGTCTGAGCCTCAAGAGGTGGTCAGGCGGAGCAACGACGTCAGGCGGTGGTCCGGCGGAGGTGAGGGCCTCAAGTGGTGGTCCAGAAGAAGTTCCGGCCTCAGGTGGTGGTCCGGCAGAGCAAAGGCATCAAGCAGTGGTCCGGCGGAGGTGAGGGCCTCAAGTGATGGTCCGGCGGAGCAAAAATGTCAGGCGGTGGTCTGACGGAGGTGAGGGCCTCATGTGGTGGTCCGGCGGAGCACAGGGCGTCAGGTGGTGGTCCGGCGAAAGTCCGACGGTGGTCGAGGAGGCAAGGAAGCAAGAGCGATCTCCGATCACTCTCTTTTTTCCTTAGGCTTTGGGGGTCCTCCCTCAAGAGGAGAGGGAGCTCTATTTATAGATTTCTGGAGTGGTATGGCCTGTAAATAGGTGGAGGATCGAGGGCAATTTGGGA